TAGCCCACAGACAGGCCAGAATTCCAGACAGCAACTTTCAGTGCTGTATCTATGACAAGATGGGAGAGGGGGGCGCGGCTCCCCACAACCCAATCAGGTGCATGTGCACGCACAGTCCAGCATTACCTGCCAAGATGAACTGCAACTTAGAGGCATCAGGTATGGCAATACGGTCGATGTACTCAGGGTCCAGGTATTTGATCAGGTCTTCAACTAGAAAAGTAACAAGATGGAAAAACAGAACAGGGTGGGGTCTTACAAAGAAAGTTTAGGGAGAGGTCATCCTTGGGGAGAGCCTTGAGTGAGGAGCTGACACCCACAGTGACCCATCAGCAGCATCCACCAGGTTCCCTGTCCCATTTCCTCGTTTCTCCATTGTCATAACCTGCTGGCTGACCTCGAGTTTTGGAGCTAGAAACATAATCACTGCCAGCAGTCTGGGGCCCCCAGAATTCCCACTGACCTATTCTCACCTGGTAGAAGACTTCTTTCTTCCTCAATGCCACCAATACAAGCCAGGGCTTCACTTGATTTCTAGTTGATGAGCAGTTACTAATTGTGACATAATTAAAGAGACTTGGCTGAACACGCCTGAGGCTCTCAGTGCCTAATTTCTTTCCTGCTTCTAAATCTTGCCTAGAAATCTCATACCCTCTTCCCCTCCTTCACCAAAGGAAGCTTTCAGGCAGGGCTCTCATCTCATAACTTAGAACACTGGAATGGGATTGAGGTTTATTCACAAGGCCAAAAAGCACATGCCCAATTCACCACTTCAGCAGAGAAATGTCTTCTCATTCTTTTTATCCTCACAGGACTACTCCAATGACCTACTGACTGAAGGGCCAAGGTCAGGTCTTAGGAATCACAGGCATGGGAAGCAGGGCAAGCAGGCACCCCATGGAAGCACTTACTCTTTTTGTACAGAATCTTCACCCTCTCCCTCTTACTGGCAATGTTCCCCAAAGCCACCTGCACCTTGACCAGACCATCGGCCACCTGTAAAGGGTATGGAGGTTAATTCTATCATAACTCCACCACAGCCAGACCTGTATTTCCCTGATGCAGCATGTACTTTTTTGGGGGGTATTGGGGATCAAACTTGGGACCTTGCACTTTCCAGGCAGGTGCCTGAACCGCTGAGCTAAATCCCCAGTCAGGTTAATTCTAAATATACCATCTGGTTCAAAGTTGGAAGTAGTAAAGAAGCTTTATCCTGCCAGGCATGATGTCACATGCCTGTCATCCCAGCACTTGAGAGAGTGAGGCAGGAGGATTGCCATGAGTTTGAGACCAGCTTGTGTTATAAAGTGAGTTCAAGCCAGCCTGAACTATATACCATGATGCAAGGCTGTCTCAAAAAACCAAAAGAAAAAAAAAAAAAAAACAAGAGAGAGAAAAGAAAAAGAAAAAGAAAACAAAAGAATCTTTATTCCCCTAGACTACCAAACCTCAGAATTCCAGTAATCTATGTTAGTCCCCTTCTCTTGTATTAAAAAAAAAAAGTAAGGGCTGGTGATTTAGCTCAGTGGTGCCACCGCCTGACTTGTAAGCACAGGTCCTGAGTTTGATCCCCAGTACCAAAACAAATAAACAAAAATTTAAAAAATGTAAGCCAGGTGTGGTGGCACATGCCTATAATCTCAGCACTCGGGAGGCAAGGCAGAGGCAGGAAGATCGCCATAAGTTCGAGGCCATCCTGGGCTACACAGTGAGTTTTAGGCCAACCTGAAGTACAAAGCGAAACCCTGTCTCAAAAAACAAACAAGGGGCCAGGGATTTGGCTCAGTGGCGCTGCACCTGCCTCAAAAGTGCAAGGTCCTGAGTTCAATCCCTGGTACCAAAAAAAACCCCCCAAAACAAAAAACCCACACATACATACATAAAGAAAATGCACTCCCACCTTCAGGAGAATCTTTTTTGGGGGGTGAGGGAATAACTGGGGATTGAGCCTTGCATTGAGTTACAGCCCCAAATCATTTTTTTTGTTTTAATTTTTATTTATTTATTTTGAGACAGGGTCTCTCACTATGCAGTTCAGGCTGGCCACAAACTCGTGGAGATACTTCTGCCTCAGCTTCCTGAGTGCTGGAATTACAGGTATGGGCCACCATGCCTGGCTCTTTTTTTGTTTTGAGATAAGATCTTGCTAAGTTGTCAAGTTGAAAAAAAAAAATTGTCAAGTTGACCAGCTTGGGTTCAAACTTAGGATCCTCTTGCTAAGCCTCCCAGGGTGCTGGGATCACAGGTATATAGCACCATGTCCACCTTCAGAAAAATCTTTAATATGAAAGAACAGAGAATCATGTACACTATAAGGAGGATGAAGTCTGATTACAGAGATAATGAACTATTTTAGAGTTTATGAGGTACCAGCATATATTATATATTCCCTGGTTCATAAAATCCTGGGTTTGAGCATGAGAGATGCAGGGATCTCATCCAAACCTTCATTACCTCATGACTGGATGACTGTCCAGGTGTCAGACTGGCTGGACTACCTCCAGCCCTATTCCCTCCACTGCAACTCTAATGTGGGAGATGGAAGAATCTAGGACAACTTCTAAGCTCTCAATAATGGTTCAATCTTTGTATAAGTAATACAGAAGAGAATCAAGTGAGGTGAGAGGTAGAGTTAAAAAGCATATGGATTGAGTTTGAGATGTCTATTGGATATTAAAATGGAAAAGTCTAGTAGACAAATGGATATATAAATCAGGTTCTCAGAACAGAAATGTGGACCAGAAATACATATTTGAGACATAATGACATGTAAATAGTAACTGAAACTGTAGAAGTGAATGAGCTTCCCTGTGTAGGTGAGCGATTTCAGTATTTAAGGGTCAAAAAAAAAAATTTAAGGGTCAAATAAAGGAGGAGGCTGTGGAGGTGACGAGGTCACTTGGGTTTTAGGGTAAAGAATGCTAATATTCAAGGAACAACTATGTGTGGGAGGCAAATAAGACTGAAAAGACCAGCCAGAGAGGTAGAAGGAAATCAGGAATATTAGTCATAGATGCCAAAGGAAGATAATTTTTTGAGAAGTTAGTTTTCAAATGAGAGTACAATCTTCAAGTGACAACTAATTCCACAAGAAGTGTACAGACAGCTGGGCATAGTGGCACACACTATAGTACTTGAAAGGGTGAGGATGGCTACAAGTTCAAGACCAGCCTGGGCTACATAGTGAGATCAAGGCCAGCCTGGACTACATAGTGAGACCGTATCTCAACAAATGAACAAAAAAAGAAGTGTACACACAGACATCATTACCTCTGATTCCTTAGCTGCAGGATATGACTGACACTACATGAGAAATTCTTCAACAAATATTCTTTCTATTTAGAAAGGGGATTAGTGTACCTGAACTTTATATCTGTCAAAATTCAGTCATTGTTGTGAACTGCCAGCCCATATCTGAACATCCAGTACCCAATCCTTTAGTCTCCTAGTCCTGGCCTTCTCAAACTTCATTCCTCACCCCGTGGAACCTTATCATCCAACTCCAGTCGGCCTCCTCTTGGGTCCCATGGACCTCTCCCTTAACAATTCTTTTAACAATTAATTATGTAGGGCTCCAGGACAGCACTTTCACTGTGGAGTTCAGCTCTTATTGAAACTCGTTAGTCAGCTTAAGCGTGTCAAGTCACCCCAAGTAGTCTTCGAGGGCTGAGGCAGAGTCTTAGTCACTGTTGTCACTAAGCCCATCTCAAAGAGGCCTAACTGTTCGCTGAACCCTCTCATGGGAATGGACCTGAAGTCTCCAATCGGCCATAGGTGTCCTCAGATCTTTGTTATTTCCAAGGCCGGATTGTAGACCTCTAGACTGGTGCGATTGTTTCCATCCCGATGGCGGGACCAGTGGATCGTTCTTGCACTGGCCCAGAAACGGACCACCAGAACAGACTCACCTTCCGCGAGCCGCGGGCCCCAACTGGTCCATACACCCAGCGTTCCAGCTCCTCCACTTGGGCCTGCAGCCTCTGTACATCCGTCAGGGCTGCCATCGCTACCGCCACCCTGCCTCCGCCGCGGAAAAACCAGAGGGCGGGCCGTCCGCCCAAATAGGAAGGCTGGCCAATCCGAGTGAAGGCGTGGCCTCTTTGCAGGAAATGGCGTCACGATTCAATTTTTTTTTTTTCCAATGGCGGAAGTGGCCGGGCGGACAGGTGAAAGATGGCAAAAGCTGTCTGGTTACCTAGGCAACGCTACCTATCCCGGCTCTATCCTGGCTTCTAGCATCTGGTTGACAACATTTTGCTTTTTTTCTTCTAATTCCAGGATACCAAAGAGTTTTCTCCGCCACATTACTTGAAGTTGCACGTATAAATACGCCTGCTATTCCAAGACAGGTCCATTCCCATAGATCAGTAGGAAGATTCCTGAGTGCAACTATCATAAACTTTTGGAGTTTTTTAAGGGTCAAAAGATTAACCCTTAATCTTTTAAGGTGAAGGAGCGCACGGCTGTAATCCCAGCACTCGGGAAGGCTGTGGAGGATCACAAGTTTGAGCTCAGCTTGGGCAATGTAGTGACTTAGTGAAACCCTTCTCAAAACCCACAAAAAAACAAACAAAAAATACCGGTGTGATGGTGCAACCCTGTAATCCCCCACTCAGGAGTTTGAGGCAGGAGGATCAACATAAGTTCGAGGCCAGCTTGGGCTACACAATGAGTTCAAGGCCAGCCTGAACTATATAGCCAAGACCCTGACTCAAACAAAGGTGTGGGGAGGGATTCTATCCCAACGTGAAAGCCCAGGGTTCAAATCCCAGTATTGTTTATAATAATAATAATAAGAAGAAGACTTAAATGACTTGTCCAAGGCACTATGGTGAAGAATCAGGATTTAAACTCAAGCAGTCTGATTCAAGTAATTTCTATTTCTCATGGAACTTTCTCATGGAACTCTGCCTTCACTTGTAAGAACTTCTGGCCTAACACTGCCTGTGTACCATATAATTCCCACCTCCCAGACCCAAACAAAAAGAGAAGGCACTGAAGAGGAAGGGATCACAACTTTATTTTCCAAATGTGACCCAAGGGATATCTCCTTCATAACACTCCAACCTGCCACCTGGCTCCTGAAGGGAAACAGGGTTGGCTCAAAAAAGTAGGGTGCCATAGATGACATTGACACAGGGGGCATATGAGGAGATGATAAGAGTGGCTTGGGAAAGAATTCTTTGGTAGATGCTGCTGGAATTGGCCAGGGAGGAGGTACCCTCCTTTTACAATGAGGTAGATAAAACATCAAAGTAAAATCTTTAGCAGGGAGGTGGGTGCAGTAACAATCAGGGTTGGGTCCCAGAGTGGGCATCTTGAAAGAATCAGGTGAGAAGGTGCTCCCTGCCCCCTAGAAATGGGGCTGACTTAGTTCTCAGTAGGAGCTCTCAGGGCAAGGGGTTGGCAGGGGGCCCTGTAGAGGGTGGGGGTGCAGGGTTGGTTGGACCCTGGGAAGCTGTTACAGGCTGGCGACGGGCAAAGAGGATGCCTGGCGAAAAGGGGAGAAGATGGTAAAAGGCAAACAAAAGCAGGAGAGGGTGGGGCACAGAACAGAAAAAGGGAAAAAAATGTAAGTGTTCTGATTGCCAGAACACCACACACACACACACCCTTGCCACAAACCAATAAGAAGAAGCCCCTCAGGCCAGTGAGAGATTCCTATGCCAGTGTAGATACCCTCAAACAGGTAAATAAGAAATACACTGATACATAGGCCCATGACAAGCCAAACATTACATGGTAAACATGCCACAAAGGCCATGCCTTAAACCCCATGCCTTACAGATTACCCCCTTTAACCCATGCCAAGGGAGCCATCCTCTGAACCTGTAGCCATGCAAATTCAGATATCTCTGAACCTCATGCTAGTAGAAAAAGTCTAAAGTCCCCATGCCAGACTAAATACCCGACTCCATGCCAGTGTAGACAACCTGCAGTACCCATACCAGTGTAGACCACCCCGTTGATCTCTAGTGCCATGTTGATACTGCTGATGCCACTGCCTGCCAGATTGAGGGGCTCATCCAGCTGCTCTTCTGTCCAGGAGGGGGCAAGGAAGTCATTTTGGGGAATCAGGCTTCAGACTTAGACACACCCCCTCCATTCCTATAGACAGCCCCCATTCTACTTCAACTCCATACCTGTTAAACACAGTTGTCTACAGAAGGATCTGTCTGCCCACTTCCAGCATCTATTAGGTGATGGGTCTACCCTCCCTCAATGCACACGCTGGAAACCCCCTCACCAACAAGCCCCTCCTCACCCCTCAGGGGAATCTTGGCACGGGATAGGAAACTAGGGGGTGCACCAGGTCGAGATGGGTCCATGGGGCCCATGAGCACAGCTCTCTTCTCTGGAGGCTCCTCTGGTGCCATCTTCTTCCGTACAGGTCCCAAGGTAAGGCCCACAGGTAGTGCCAGACGATGGGTGGGAATTCCGCTTTCCTCTGGAAGAACAGATCACTCAGCTCCTCTGCCTCCTTAGGTCAACTTGTTTTGTTTTGGTACTGGGGATTGAACTTGGGACCTTGACCTTGCGAGGCAGGTGCCAGAACTACTGAGCTAAATCCCCTGGCCTGGTTTTTGCTTTTTTGAGACAAGGTCTCGCTCTATAGTTCAGGCTATCCTTGAGCTCACTATGTAGCCCAGGCTGGCCTCGAACTTGAGGCAATCCTCCTGCCTCAGCCTCCTGAGTGCTGGCATTACAGGCGTGTGCCACCACAAAAGGCTAGGTCAACCTGTTGTTGTGTTTGGTTCTCCCCCAGGCCTGGGAGACTGAAGGAGATCACTCAAGCTCTCACAGCAACTTCAAGCAGCTTCTATAGTTTTTTCCTTCCAGAGCCCCAGCCTGGAGGCTTTGAAGGTGTAAAATTCCAAGGGACAATACATATGTCTAGGTTTATGTTTAGGTTGGTCTAAGAGAATCTGGGAGATTTCCCTGTTCTTGGTTGCTAAGTAATTTAAGTCACAAGAGGTACAAACCACATGCAAATAGGAGCCCTGGTTGGTCAGGTGTGGAGTGAAGCTGCTATGGGTAAAGGACCTTTTCCTAACCTAGACCTCTTAAGGCTTTATTGGCCCCAAACCTCAGAAGGCCTATACGTAGCAATACCCAAACTTCAGCACCCCGTCTGAGGTTGCTATTTTCATATCACAATGCCTCCCAGATCTCAAGGTTTCTACATTTTAATGTTTCTTATACTTCGGTGCCTGCACTGACCTTGAGCGCCCCTTAAACTTCCACCCCTCTCCCCTCGCACCTTTCTTAATAGGGCTCGGGCTCAGCTGGGCGCACGCGTGTACTGGCAGGCCTGCCGCAGAGCTAGGGACAAGGGCGGTGCCGGCCGGGAGGGCAGGTCGGGCAGAGCCAGGGCCAGAGGCGGGGCCCGCAGCAGCCCGAGGGGGCGGGCCCGCCAAGCCGAAGTGCGGCGCGCCGGTGTAAGCCTGGCGCCGGCCCTCGCGCCGATTGCTGTCTATGGCCGCCTGAAGCTCTCCCGGGGAGCTGAGCGCCTGCGTCTCGCATTCATATGGGTACAGGTACTTCATGTACCTGTAGGGGCGGATGGGGGGAGGTGGGAGGCAGGACCCCTTGATCAAGTCCCACATCCCATCCGCCCCCCCCCCCACATCCACACCCCCTCACCCCTCCACCCCGCCTCACTGGGTGCGAAGAGTGAAGGCTGCGGAGGTGATGGTGGTGGGCAAACTGAGGCCGCGCGTGACTTCCCGCCACACCTTTCGGTTGATGACTTCCACCAGACCGCCCTTAGCTGTCACCAGGCGAAACAGCGCATAGAGATCCAGCACCTGCTTCGCCATAATGGGCACGCGGTTCACTGGTGTCCCTGATGGGGAGTAGCCAGACAGTCAGCACATTAAGGCCCTTAAGACATCACCAGTGAATGAAGGAGTTGGATGCCTGCAGAAACTTGGGTATGTATGGCAGAACCCCAGAGAAAGGAGGAAAGGAGGAAGGGATGGGGAGGTGGGGTTACAGGCAGAGGCCCACAGAACCTTCAGGATCAACATCGTAGCAGGAAGGACGAGGCTCAACCAGGGGTCACCAAACTTACTTTGTAAAGGGACAGGTGGTACTGTGTAGGCTCTGCAAACCACACAGTATCTGTCACAACTACCCAGTTCTATAATTGTAGCCTGAAGCAGCCCTAGAAGATGCTTAAGGGAAGAAATGAGCCAGGCTATATTCCAATAAAATTTTATTTACATGCTCTGAAATTTGAATTTTTTGTTTTGTTTTGGTTTTGGTTTTTGAGACAGGGTCTCACTATGTAGCCCAGACTGACCTTGGACTCACTCCAATCCTCCTGCCTCAACCTTCCAAATGTTGGATTATAGCCATGCACCATCATGCCTGGCTGAAATTCGAATCTCACACATCTGTAAATTATTCCTCTTTTTTTTTGGGGGGGGGGTACTGGGGATTGAACTCAGGTCCTTGCGCTTGCGCAGCAGGTAGTGAAACCACTGAGCTAAATCCCCGGTCCTGAAAGTTATTCCTCTTTCAATTCTATTTTCTATGTATGTAAAAACCATTCTTAATCTGGGCATGGTGGGTGCACACCTATAACCTCAGCAATTGGGTAGGCTGAGGCAGGACAATTGTAAGTTATAGACACCCTATCTGAAAAGAAAATAAAAAGGTCTGAGGGTGTAGCTCAGTGGTAGAGTGTTTGCCAAGCATGCACAAGGCCCTGGTTCCATATACAGTACCGCCAAACAAACAAACAAACAAAACTACTTTTTATTATCTCAAAGGAGCCTGAATTTGACCAGAAAGTTTTACTTTGTTGAATCCTGGGGTAGGCTATAGGATGAACTTCCGGATAGTGCTGAAGAGCCGATTTCCCTAAACAGCAGCCCTCAGTGGCTGCTTGAGGCTTGGGGATGGAGGATAAGAATCAACTCCTGCCTGGGCCCACCAACTCTGCAGCCTGCACCACCCCCGCCAGCCAGTCCTGACAAAGGGGCCTGTCTCCGCTGAGCGATGGGCCCCAGTTAATTCCTTACCGATCCTGTCCCCTTCCACCGCTGCCTTTGGACCCGAACAATTAGCTGCGGCCTGATTAATGGGGGGAAATTATTGGTCCCATGGGATGCCCCCTCCCCCTGCAGCTGAATGGAGAGAGGGAGGAAGGGACTGAGGGAGGCAGAGCCAGGGGTGTGGGCAGAGCTGGGATCAGTTCAGACTATCCCAACATTCTTAGTGGAGCAGAAACACCAAAGAAGGGGCAGGGAGGGACACTGGGGCCACAATGCCTAAGCTTCCCTGGGAAGCAAGAGGACCTGGAACCCCACCAAGGGTCCCTGGGAAGGAAGGGACCAGAAAGGGATGCTGGCCCAGGGAGACTTGTACCAGCAGCTGCACCAAGGGAGGGGGTGCAGTGCAGCCAGTTAATTAGCAGCTTATCAGGCTTCGCTCTGAGTGAGTTAATTAGCTTTGTAGAGAGAGATAATGAGTCAGTGTTCAGTCCCATGAATCTGGGGAGAAACCGAAGTGATGGACTGCCACCCACCCTGATCCCCTCCTGGACCCTTCTTCCATTCTCTTCTTGCTTTGAGATTCCTGGGAAGGAATTCCTTCTCCTCCACTGCCCCAACTGACATGGTCCCCAGCCCAGCCCTTATGAAGTCCTTCCTTCAGCATAAACCCAGTCCTTCCTGCTATAGAGCACATGGAAAGCAAGCAAGGGAAAATTGAGGGGAGACAAGGTGGAGAAAGGGCCCACCAATAGAGTACCAAGGCATTCCCAGCCCTCCAGACTTGGGACCCTCCCACTCCAAGCCATCCCCCCAACCAGTTCCCACTTCCATACTCCCAATTGATCCCACACTCATTAACCTGCCAGTGGGCTGGCCACTAATTAATCCCAGGGTGGAGAAGGGGGGCAGGGTCAGAGGTTAAAGATGCTATTGAGGGCCCAAAGGATAGGTGCTGCCAACCTCAGGCTTCCAGGGAGAGGACCCCACCTGGGAACTACACCCTGGTGTCTCCTTTCCTCAAACCTTACGTAGGGGCAATTACAGGATCCTTCCCCAATCACCTCACTCACCCCTCTTCTGCATGAAGCTAAACAGGTCATCCAGAAATTCCTTCCTCTTGGGGTCTGCATCAAGCTCATACAGCTGGGGAAGGATCAGAGTCACTCTCCAGCTCCACTGACCCCCACCCACTTGGGGCCCCAGTTCAGGCTGTAACCTGAACATAGGTCCCTACTGAAGGACTGAATAGGGTCTGAATGTGGACTCCCTGGCATTAAACTCACCCACTAGGGGGCAGGTAGGGTGCATTTTTCTAATGGACACAGAAACACCCCAGTCCCCTACTCATTAGTGGTGCATAATTCAAACCACCCACCTGGAAAATATGGGAAGAAGTAGGAAGGAGCTAGGGCACCTCAGCCTGAGACTCCAGGGGAGAGTCTTAACCTACCCTGAGGGGAGACGGAGAAACTCAGGAGGAAGCCCAGTAGGGCTGTGCTTTGTATTAAGGACTGACATGTTTATGTGAGGCACACATTTAATCTCATTCATCTGTGCAAGGGCTTCATGCTGTTCGCATCCCTGTATGCCAGGGACAGGTGGGTGAGGGGCAAGGAGGATGCTCGGGAGCTCCTGGATTGAGGCTTGGTCTGATCTCCTTCTAGAGGCAGTTGTCCTGCCTACTACAGAAGCTGCCACAAAGACACTGACCACCACATGCCACTCAGGACCTATTGGTCATCCCACCCCTTCCCAGTCACCTGGAGTCCCACCTCAGAAGCACCTCCCAAATCTAAGATGAACAATCACCAGAGTAATGGAGTCACTGACCCACAGTAACAATCTCTGAGTAACACTCCAACCCCCAGTAAGAACTCTCAGAGTGAAAATCACCTGTGAATAACAAACTCATGAGACCTACCTTTATAGCCACATTCCCACAACACTGGACCGTAAGTCTCCAGTGGACACTTACAAATAATACCTATATTTACCAGGTAATATGCCCCAGAATTATAGACAGGAGAGTCACTAGAACCATATCTCGAGTATCAGGGCCTTGAGTAATACTCTCAGTGTTATACTAATGCCCCAGAGTATTAGCCACAGATTAAAAATTCTGGAAAATACTCAAAACCAACACCCAGTGAGTAACACTGCCAGAATAGCACACCTGAAGTCTCAGCCCTGAGTAACACCTTCATAGTGACTAGTATCCTTAGCATAACACCTAGGAGGGCTTCACAGGGAAAAACTTGAATGAAAGTCTTGTGAATAAGGTCTTGTCATTCCTAGTTGCACAGAGATACTGCAGCTGCTAGGTGGAAATACAGACTGGAAACTGTCATCCATGGAACTTAGGCCAGGGTTGGGGAAGTGGTTTGACAGGAAAGAGGAGGGATGTACCAGCCTGCTAAGGAAGCAGAATCAATATCTTGCTTCCAAAGACAAGGTAGACAGCCCACGACACTCCCACTGGTCCTTATAACTTGATGTGTGAGAGGGCAGGTGGGGTGGTACTGGCACTGGACTCACTAGGCTCCAGATCCCCCTCGCTCAAAGGCTCCTACACCTGTCTCACTTTCCTTCCGGCCTCACTAGTGGCCTCCAATTTGTCAATCTCCATGTTTCTGGGCATCTCCTGTGCCTCTTAGTGCATCCTATGCAGTTTCTGCAGATCTGGGTGTCTCTGTCACCTTATCACTATCATCTAGTTTTCCCACTAGCTCTCTCCCTAGGTCTCTGTATCTTTCCATCCTGCAGAGGGCAGTGGGGATGGGTGGACTACTGATTACCTAGCTTTGCTTTTGCCTGGAGGGGAGGAAGGGGGGAAGGCCTGACAGTTGGGGAGGGGGTCCTACCTGCTTGAACTGTTCCTCATAGGTCCACTCATGGGGATGGGGTCCAGGAGGCTGGGCGGTAGGTGAGCTGGGGCCCCGGGCCCCTGGACAACTCTCCTCAGCCACCTCCTCCTCTGTTCCAGCTTCCTCCTCTTCCTCATCCTCTTCAGCATCCTCCTCTTCCTCAGCCCCAACCTCACCCAAGGCCCCCTCAGGAGCCTTCAGGGTCCGGGGGCCAGGCAGGGGAGGCCTTGGTGGCAGTGGAGGGTGAGGAGGGGCCAATGGACCCACCCCTTGGGCCAGCCGAGCTGCCTGCTGCCTCTGCAGGGCCTCCATTACAGCTTCCAGGCGCAGTCCCCCTGCTGGGGGGGCCCCTGGTACCAGGCGGGGCCCCGAGGAAAGGGCTGCCTGTGGGGAAGAGAATTATGGGTGCTGGGTATTGCTGTCCCCACATCTCCCAGCACAAGGGAGGTGGTCATGGATTCAGGGACACAAGGGGGGTCATAAGGAAAGGGCAGAAAGATAGCTATGCCAGAGATGGAGAGACAGAGAGCTAAAAAGAAGAGAAGAGTCAGGGACCAGACCTGGGGAATCAGAAATAGCCAGTGACTGAGGACATGGCGGAAGCTTAGCAAATAAGAGAGGGTGACAGGGACGAGGAGACAGGTAGGAGATAGGGAGAGAGAGGGAGAGACAGAGAGACACAGAAAAAGAGAGAGAGAATATGAGAGAATGAAAATGAATGTGAATGAGAATGAATATGAGAGACATTGTCAAGGAAATGCAGAGGTAAAGAGAGAGCTGGGACAAGCAGAGACAGAGGTGGAGAGAAACAGAGATTGAGAGGGACTAAGGTGGAGAAAGACTGAGATTCCAGGCAGAGGCAAGAGTAGAGAGACAGAGAAAGGGAAAGATGAGACTGATAGAGATACTGGGTAGAGAAGGAGGGTAAGAGAGAGGATCAAAAGACGAAAGACCTAAGTGACAGGCAGTCCAAGGAGGCCAGTCACAGAGACACGAGGCAGAGAGAGACAAATAAAGAGACGGGTTGAGAGAGACAGGGAAAGACTAACGACGCAGCGAGAGGCAGAGACAGAAGAGAGAGATTAGGTAGAGACAGGGCAAGAGTCGGAAAATAGAGGGGCACAGAGAGGGAACAACGGATAGAGAGAGAGGGCAGAGAGGCAGGGGAGATGCGGCGATAGAGAGCGAAAGCAGAGCCCGGGAACGCACCGGACGGCCGGGGGCGGCAGGGTCCCTGCACCCCGCTCCTGGTGCCTCACAGCCGCACTCACCTGCCTGGCGCGGCCCGTTGCCCCCGGTGTCTCCACGGCGGCCTCTCTGCTCCGCCCGCCTCCCAGGCGGCTCTGCCTCGGCTCTGTCCGCTCTGGGTCCCCGCGGTGCGCTTCTGCCTCCTCGCGCTCCTCTGGCTGCTCTGCGGGCTGCGGTCGCGGGGGCGGGACCCTAGGCGGGCACAGCTTGTGGGGGCGGAGGGGGAGACTCCCCGCGGGCTCTGCCCCTCTGAGCCCCCCAACAGGTGTCTCCCACCTTCCCTACAGCCAGACTCAGGGAGAGGGGGCGCTAGAGAGTTACTGGGAATCCTTCGAGGTAGAGTGAGGAGCACACCACACCTGGACTGTGGACCAAGGGCCCGCCCAGCCCCCCAAGTCATGCCCCCTACGCACACTGCACTCACTGCTGATTATTCACACACAGCTGCGTTCTCGCACCAACACATCCTGCCACAAGTTTAGACACACAGCTGCCCAGTCACACACTCTTGTTGCAGGTCATTACAGTGCCAATGGCTTGGGCAGCTGGTGACTACGAGAATCATGCTGCAAATGCTGGGGTGAGTGTGGAACCTAGCTGGAATAGAAGCTTCTCTTCCTGCCCTGCCCACCTGCCCTGTCCTCACCTCTGTGTGTGCTGCAGTTTGCACACAGGTGTACATGCATAAGGCAGCGGACTCATGGTAGAGTCAGAGGTCTCTGAGCTGACTGTACACCCATAGCAGTGCACACACGCCCCATACACAGATATACGGCAGCATAAGCTTTTGTCTTTTAAATTTTTTCTTGACATTCATTTTTATTATTCATTAATTTTTGGTGCTGGGAATTGAACCCAGATGCACCCTACCACTGAGCTTTACCCCTAGCCCTTTTCAAGAATTTTAGATTACAAGATAGGTTCTCACTAAATTGTCCGGGCTGGGTTCAAAGTTGTGATCTTCCTGCCTCAGCATTCCCAGCTGCTGGGACTGCAGGTTTGTACCACCATGCTCAGCTTCCTTTGACATTCTATTGTGGCTATTTCCAAACATGCAGAAATTAGAGTATAATGAACCTCAGGTACTCATCACTGTTTCAGTGATCAGCATTTTGCCTATCTTCACACATTCTCCACTCATGTGTGCTTGACTTCCACATCTGTTATCTCCAGACCCCCGCTGGAGGTACTGCTTTGGGCCTACTGTACCCTATCGCCCAGATCCTGTTCTCTTTTTGGAGGTTCTGAGAGGCAGGCCACAATTTCCCTTCTAAGCATCCAGAACCCTACTCTTTTCAGGCACCCTCATACTTCCCCAGTATGGACCTATTTATGAAAGGTATGAGGACCACCCTAAGGTGAGTGAATAGCAAGTGTCCATGGTGGGGGACACTGGCATGGGTGTACAACTGTGCCATATCTTGCTACACCACTGATCATCCTCTAACCTCACGGCTGGTGAGGCATGAAGTCCCAGGGCCACCATTCCTCTATTTTCTCTTCCCTCACTCTTTCCCAATCAATTCACTCTTTTTGGCTTCAGTTTATCCTAGCCCAGACCACCAGCTCATCTCACCAGAATCTCATGTTGGATGTCACTCCTTGCTCTCCCTGGCTCCAGTCTCCACCTTTCTGCAGTTCCTGCTGCAGCACTAAGTCCTTGTCCTCTATGGCCTATCCCTACCAACCCTGAGGCTCAGTGTCCCTCACCTTAGATATCTAACCTCACAGCTGGAGAGCACCCCCCTATCTTTGGTGCCCCAACTACCTTTAACCTGATGCCCCCTTCGAGGTGGCTGGTTTGTTTTTTTTTGTACCGGAGATAGAACTCGGGTCCTTGAGCTTGCGAAGCAGGCAGTGAAACCACTGAGCTAAATCCCCGGTCCTAAGGTGGCTGTTTGATGTGAGTTCTCCTGGAGCAGAGCCAACCCTGGCCCAGGAGGGGAGAACAGGTGAACCAGCAGAGGTAGATGTCATGCCTTGGGGCAGAGGTAGACCCTGCAAACCTCTGCTGTCCTGATTATGTCCCTTTCCCCCAGCTTTTGGCTGCTCAGAGGTTCCTGGAGAGATGTAAAATTCCTGGAAAGGTAGGAATTGGCATGGGAGAATTCTAGTTTTGAGAGTTTGTAGGTTACTTTTAAAAAAGATTTTGGGGTGGAGGAGAGAGGAGGGGGCAGCTACCCTTCCCCACAAAATAAATAACTAAGTTAATTAATTAATTAATTAATGGAATCACGCTGGGCATGGTGGCACATGCCTATAGTCCCAGCACTCTGGGAGGCTGAGGCAGGAGAAGTGCCTGGGCAACATAGCAATTTATTGAGATTTTATCTCAAAATAAAAAATAAAAAGGGCTGGGAATGTAGCTCAGTGCAAAGGCACTGGGCTCAATCCCAGTACCACCACCACCACCACCACCACCATGACCACCACAAAAAAAGTAAAGTAACAGTAAACCACTTTTAGAGTCTGGGCCAGGAGGACTGTAAGTGTTAAGGACTGAGGGAGAGGAATAGCCTGAGGGGAACCTGATTTTTCTCTCTCTTCATCTGTAAAAAGAAAAGGCTGCTCCTCATATCCACACGCATAGTCTGCTGCCAGTCCTCACAGAGACAAAGACAGACAGACTGACCTAGATCTCCAGAAGCCAATGCTTCATTCATCAAACACATATTTATTGAGTATCCACTTTATGCCAGTTACTGTTGGATATAGAAAAAAAATGGCATAAATCTAGTGGGAAAAATACAATTGTGTCAGATGGTGATATGTACCATGTGGGAAATACGGCTGGGTTGGGAGGGATAGAACGGGGAGGGTATACTGGTTATTTACTGCTGTGTAACAAATTATCCCCAAGCTTAGAAGCTTAAAACAACAAACATAGCTTGGCACAGTGGTGCATACCTCTAATCCTAGCTACTTGGGAGTCTGAGCCAGGATTGCAAGTTTGAGTTTAGCCTGTGCATCTCAGAGAGATCCTATCTCAAAATTAAAAATTAAAAAAGGGCTACGGATGTATTGTTGCAGTTCATTATGATGGCCCTGGGTTCAATTCCCACTGCTGGAAAAGCGCACGTGCACACACGCATGCATGCATGCACACACACACACACACAATCTTATTTCTCATTTTTTGAGATTCAAGAGTGGGTTAAGCTAGGTGTGGTAATGCTCACTTGTAATCCTTTCAGGAGGCTGGGCAGGAGGAACACTGTGAGTTCAGGCCAGCCTGAACTACAAAGCAAGACCCTCTCTTGAAAAACAAAAAGAGAAAAAAAGTTGCCTAATGGGGTGGTTCTGATTTGTTGCCTACTAGGAGTTGGATTTTCTTTTTCTTTTTTCTTTCTGGTTCTGGGGATTGAAGGACTTTTCTCTAAGTTTCTTTTTTTTTCTTTTGGTACCTGGAATTGAACTTGGGACCTTGCGCTTGTAAGGCAGGCATGGTGCCACTGCGCTAAATCCCCAGCCCTCTTATGAGGCTGTGGTAAAAATACTGGCCAATGTTGCAGTCATCTGAAGTCTTGACTGGGGTGGAAGGAGCCACTTCCAAGACAGTTCATCCACAAAGCTACGGGCAGAAGCCCTGTTTTTCCCCACATGCACCTCTACATAGGATTGGTTGTGTGTCCTTCTGACAAGGAAGTTAGGTTTCCCCGAAGTGATCCAAAAGAAACTAAAGAGGCAATAGTATTTTTATGGCTTAGAGGAAGTCACACACTGTCATTTCTGAAATACATGTATATCATTTGTTAAAGTATATAACTAAGTCTAGCCCAAACTCAAAAGGAAGGAAATTAGGATTCACCTCTTGATGGGAGGAATATAAAAAATTTCATAGGGCAGGGGATTTAGCTCAGTGGCACCATGCCTGCCTCACAAATGCAAGGTCTTGAGTTCAATCCTTGGTACTGAAAAACAAAAACAACGACAACAAAAAAACCCAAAACCAACTTTGTGGAGGGAGCTGGAGGTGCAGCTCAGTCATAGAGTACTTGCCCAGCATGTATGAGGCCCTGGGTTTAAAGCCCAGCACCAGGGCCGGGGATTTAGCTCAGTGGTCCTGCCACCTGCCTCGCAAGCGCAAGGACCGGAGTTCAATCCC